CATTTCCAAAGCCTGCCCATCTTCCAGTATGGAGTGTAGGTCTACTTCCAGCTCATTTGCCTCAGTCACTTTATCTTGTTTCTGGACATGTACAGATATGGTCATCTGCTTTTGTTTTTTGGGCATCTTCAGATGTTATCTGTGGACTTAATACTTAGGTAGGTATGCATTCTGATATTTTTTATGCTTTCTGATTGCCTCCAGGTAGATTTGATCAGGAAATGGGCTTCCCTTTTCATTCTTCTTCCTGAGAAATTTCAAGATACCACTGTTGGTCGTTTTGACGTAACTTAGACTTTAATTTTCAGCCTATTTCCTCTATGGGTTGCTTGTACCGCTCCACAATCCCTCTTTGGGCCTTTTTTCTAGTTGGAAACAGTTCAGGGCTTGCTGTGGCCATTTGGTTTTAATTGGAAACTGTCTCTTTAAATTTCGAGGAGATCTATGAGCATGCATAGTAGAACTCTCCGAGGGTGGGACTGGGGTTCCCACTACTTCAGGCACCCCTATAGTTACCAAAATGGAGGTGCACAGACAGCAAGGGACCAATACACAGCTACCAAAAGAAAATAATGTCCACACCTTTATCTCTGCGGTTCTGCCAGGTATCTGTGGCTGATCCGATCTTTCCCCTGCTTGGTCTCACCCAAGTTGGCGGCTCCTAGAGCAGCTGAACATTCCGGACTAGACAGCAATGGATTTCTTGCTTCTGCCACAAATTCCCCCAGCTGTAAGCCTTCCAACCTTCTAAATATCCCTTTATATGTGGTTCAGAGTTCTAGGACCATCCCCTGAGCCTTCTTGGTCGGGTATTCTGTGTTGTTGCTGGCGGAGCTCTTTACTATACTTCCACTTGATCTACTATCTTGTTTGTTTGAACTAGTTTTTGTTTTGTTTTTAATCAAAATTAATTCATGTGCATGACAAAATAAAACAGTGCATAAAAGTTTAAAATGGAAATATATATATATACAAGAATTGGTATTTTTCCCAACTCCAGATAAATGGTGGCTGTTCATATTACATTATATATATATTAATAGAGACTGATATTTGTCCCTAAAATCCAGGCTTTTTAGAGTCAAATGTGTCCCTTCTCCCTGAAGGTAGGCTATACCTGCTATAACTTGTAGTCGAATGCCTAACTGAGAACTAGAGAAACCAAACAAATTGAGTAGTCTTCTCTTGGTGAGCAGAGCACCATAATTCTCCC